TCAGGTATGACACCTGTTGCTGTACGAACTGCCATCACCTCTGCAGGTCATCCACTTCCCCAGCCTTCCCATGGGCCTCATGACAGGGACCACCTCCCAGGAGACTGGTAGAGGTTCTCTCCTCCTCCACAGACAGCAGCCACCTCCCTCGTGCTTATTCAATGGGACACAGGCAACAAGCCAAACATCTTTTTCCTTACCCAGGGTACGCTGATATATCTGTCTGAGCTGATGGGTGGGTCGCGGCTGCTGTATTCTTCTACTCCTGCTGTACGCCGCATTGTCTGTAACGATACTGTTGGTAGGCCCTCCTAAGCAATGGGCGTTGGACATGACACTTTGCATGGGACAGCTTCTATAACGAGGCAGAGCTTGCGAGACTGACTTCTCATCTTACGTTGACTAGTTTCAATGGCTTTTATCTTTTGGAGCCTTTATTATAAAGGGTGAACACTGCTTTTCTCCCTTTGCAGGTTATTCTGACAGATGTAGGAATGGAAATAAAGAACCATGAACCTTTCTTTACCAGAATCTGGCCTAATCTCCAGGAACTAATCTTAAAGAGTTTTACAGGCTTCTTATGTAGCCTAAAATCACCAGGACAGCCTGTACCATGCACAAAGAAAGAAGTTAGTGCATTCCAAATAGGAATTAGTGTAATTTTCATGCCTACTTCAGAAGCTGCAAGACTGCCACTGATGCTTAACCATTAAGCATCTATGGAAGTGCTTGGTACTGAAGCATGGGAATACAACTTTTCCCAGGAACCTAAATGCTCTCCTTCTGAGCGTTCATAAATTCATCTCTATTTCAAGAATAACAAGCACATCGGCAACAGGCTATGTCTGAGCTCATTCAGATTATTGGTCAGGTTGTCTTCACTATACGTGCTCTGGTAGGATGTGCTGAGTCTGTGATGTGCATTCTGGCAAACACAGCCATTGCATGAAGGTCCCCAATTAATATAAAAGCCCACCCATTTGAGCGCTTGCTCAGCATATTCAACACCACAGTTCAACTTGCTTTGCTTTCAAAGAAGACTTAAAGCCACATTTCCTATCGAGTTACAGACTTTGCCGATCGAGGGGCATTACCCCATTGGGCCTGGCAGAGCTGCCTGGTGCCTGTTTTGCCAGCAAGCACAAGGGGGAGCGCAGCTAGTGACAGATGAACGGATCCCATCTGCTGACCATGCTATCTGTGGTTGCTAGACTTCTTTGCCTTCTGGGTGTAGTCCAGCTTTCCCAAGTAATTTTGCTAACAAATAGCTTAAGCCACTAGCAGGACAGAATCTGCTCTTCTAAGGACTCCTCCACGTACAGAATACCATTTGCTGGAGGCAGTCCCTTCTTTCCCTCAAACGCAGCAAGTTTTACAAGGGTACTCCGTTCATCACTATCTTGCTTCTGATGACTGTTGTGGCTGGTCTCCAAGTGCTGCTCCTTGTGATGTGTGCTTGCTTTGTTCCATTTGCTTCTAAACCTTGGGGTAAGATTATAACTTAGTATTTAAATGTTATTATAGCATAAAGTCAAGCCCTTGAACTGACAACCAGAAATAAGGTTGTTTGTACTTGTACCTAATAATATATTCTTCTAATTCTATGGTCCCATGGGACCACAATTCTGTGGTTGCTGCTGACTTCTACCACATCCAGTATATGGTATGAAGCAATAGATTTATTTTTATGCAGCACTGATGGTCTGTCCTGATACCTCAATGAAGCAAAGATACAAGAAGAGGATAGACATCTCTCTACACTTCTGACCTGCTGTGAATACCAGGGAACAGCCAGAAATGAGTAAATGTGGCATGCAAGACTAATGCTTAAAATCCTACACAAGCATAAATTGAACTTTCCTCTAATGTGGAGAAAAGGAGGTACAGATCAAATGAATTGATCAACTTTTAAGCTCACAGAAATAACAGAACTCAGTTAGAACATGTAATCTTAGTCATAATTTCCTCCTTTAAAATAATCCCCTCTCCATAATCACCTTCTGTGGCTTCACTCATTTCTCATACAACAGGAAAAGTTATTTTATAACGTCTTCAGCTGTGCTTCATTAACTTGGATTCTGCCATCCAGAGTGAACTATTGCAGAAGGAAAGACCTCAGATACGATTCTCACCTCTCCGGGCAGTGGCATCTACTAACAGTGAAATTTCTGGAATTATAACAGGGTAAAAGTCCAGTCAGGACGAGGTCTGTAAATCTGCTTCTCAACTGTCTGTATACTTCTCCTCCTGTTTGTCATCAGCCACCATGTAAGCAAATGGACACAGATCATATAGCTGAAGACCACAGGCTGAAGGTCAGGTAGCTGTCCTTGACAAATTGAGACTCCGTAAGGTTGTTTTTTTTTTTTTTTGGTAATAACCTCAGTTCACATTCTGCAAAGGGCACCTGAAGTTTATACTGGTCACCATGAGCAGGTTAAAAATGCTAAACAATGGCATTTGTTCCTCATTTCTCTCAGTGGCAAGAACAATTTATTCAATACAAGCTACGTGTACAACTTTACACAACGTTTTCAAGGCATTAAATACTGTCACCCTTCCAAGGAATGCTGTACTGCATATACAAATAGAAAACCTCATGCCTATTGAGTCATTTTCCTCTTAATCTCAAATAGCTTCGCATGACCCAAACAGGATTTCTCACGTGGCTTTACTCCATAAATTGCAGTCTGTGTGCTACCGTTCCATACTGTTGCCAGGTACAGATCAAACAGGAAGTACAATTTAGGTCATTCCATCTCTATATTCTGGTTTTCTACAAAGACAGTTAAAAATCTGCTGCTAGAGCTACTTCCTTGGGAACAGATATGAGAAACAGGAATAATAGATGTTGTATCAAGAGTCCTTTAGACAAAGATTCAGTTTGGCAGGCCAATTTGGCATTTACAAGGACCAGGCTTCAGTACAACTTTAGGTAGAACTAATAGTTTTCCTGTGCCATTCCTACCATGTTGATTTTCCAAAACCTCACCACCAGAGCTTGTTTGTTCGTTTCAGTATCAAAGACCAATGCTGAAAAGTTCATACGTAATCCACTGAGGACTGAAAACACACAGATTCAAAAGATGAAAGGCAAAAAGCTTGATTATTTTCTTAGACGTTACTGGCAGTTTTACAAAAGTGGTACTAAATCAAATGCTGTCTTCGTGTTTTGACAAAGTAACAGGAAATTCAGGAATAATTTTTATTAACAAAGAGTCTAAAAGTATAAGCAAGATGGTTTGCTCAAGAATTTTTGGTGTTCCACCAGTTACTTGTTGGTAGATGTACTGACTGAAGAAAAAAAAAAAAAACCAATAAAGGTACCAAGTATGTAACACAGACCTTTTTCACAACACAGATAAGTCTCACAATTTATAAAAAGGAACACTTCTGCTACCACACCTTTCACAAACAGAACAGTGGTTAGAGCACTTGCTTTTCTGGGACCAGAGTTTGATTTCAGCTTGAGGCCAGCAATGTAAAATGAGCTCTAACAGGATTAATCCAGCTCCTTCTAGATGAATTTACATCCTTCTTTTCTAGAACACCAAATTAGGTCACATGACTTGCATGATTCTTCTTTAGAAGTTGCTGGCAGAGGAAAAGGCGGCATTTGACAGTTCAGCAATAGATGTTTGCTGGGTCACTTACATGGCTTCTGTACAGCATGCAGGACTTGATAAAAATACTAAGCCATGAGTTCGTTAATTACATGGTGACTTCATAAACATCATAAACTGAATAATACCCCTTTGATTCTCTGTGAGAATTTTAAACTATGCAGTTTTCCCCACAACAGAGCTTTGCAATCTTCACATTTATCAAACTAAATGATAAGAATAATAATTAAAAAAAAATCTCACACCGAAAATAGAAAATAATTTGATTTTTAGTTGGGTTCCAGGATCTTCAGTTTTCAAGTGCAGAATTTCAGCAATACATAGAAAGAGATTTCAGATTCAAAGCCAGCTCTGCCAGGATCCCCATACTTCCTACATAACGGAACGGTGGACTTCGGAAAGCTACCCGAGACCTTCACCACCCCAGCTGCTTTGCTGTGAGCCCAGCTCTTCTGGCAACCCCAAGAATCCCAGTTTCAGACAGGACTTTCCCTGTGGCCAGTCCCTGCATTGAAGGATCGCTTCCAGCCACTTGGGCCCACAGCTGAGTTCAAAAAGCTTGACTGTTTAAGATGGGGGAAAAGCAGTTCCCAACCTCCCCTCTGCCCCCATCATGGGGAGGCAGGGGGGTGTGGGCTTCTTCTTTTTGACTGAATTCAAGTTGTCCCAAGAAATTTCATAGCTGCATCTTGAGCTGTCTCCCTGATATTTCTGATTAGATTGTTTAGTCATAAAACATTAATAAGGAGCAAACCATACCTATACAACAGAGTCCAGAACTCTGTAGTGTTCCTATTAAGTTGTTTATGTGACAGACTTGTCAACGTGAAAACTTGAAATAAAGCCAAAAGTTAACGTACTAAAAAGAGGAAATAATAGTTAAAAATTCTAATTATTGTCAGAGGTATATTATTTTTATTTTTTTTTTTAAACATTTCCGTGATTTACAAAATGCAGCAGGTTAAATGCTTGTTTCATGTCTTTCATTTTGTAACAGTAAAATGAGGCAGTAATAAATTTTATTTTGTGGTCACTGTGACTCTGGAAAGACAACTGTGACTAATTACGTCGAAGTTATTCTAAGGGGACACCTGACATTGTTCGTATTTTTTTAAATATCACTGACCAAATTCAGAAAATGTTTTTAAAATTCAACAACCTAAAGCCCACCCTATTCCAACCATAAGCCCTTATTCCTACTATGTAAGTATGAGACTCTCCTGTATTTCTGTAGATTACATACAGTAAGTTACATTGAATGTCTTTCAGATAAAGGTGAGGAATTCAACATTAATACTCTGCTGAAACAGAAAGCAAGAGGCAAAGATCAACTGCTAACACTCAAGTACAGACAGCGTCTATCTTTTATTATGACAACATGATTCTTGAAATTGCAACAAATACCATTTCAGGGTCATCATCCCTCAGAAAAGAGACATTCCATTCCAGAATCTCTGTAATCTCATCCTTTGTCAAGAGGATATATCTTACTGCTGCACAAAATTCAGTGCTTAGAGGTCAGAGTCAATGTAGAGGATACTCTGAAGATTTGTGGAAGCATATTACTCAGCTGGTAAAACATTTCCTCAGAAATTGTCTGGAAAAAAAATAGACCAGTAAGCTTTGGCTTTTCACTGTAGTTTGGAAGAATTAAGTCTCTCTCAACTTTTTTTGATGTTTCTTGACATTTAAGAGAATTGCTGTTTTTCAGAAGACCACAAAGCTTGCTTTCAAACTATGTGTTATTATTCTATTTAATTCAATCAAAAGGAAGAGATTGACCTAAAAATACTGTTTGTATATTTATGTGACATATCTGTTTCTAGTAGATTTCCTGTTCCAGTAATTGATTATTTCTGTTTAGCATATGCAGGACAGCGCTGTTTGTTATCTACAGGACTCCTGCTCTCTGACTTCCAGAATTAGGTTCAACTTCACTACTTAGTTTATTCTTGGCTTCCTCTTTGCTCAGCCATTTACTACTTTGTCAAGAAATACATGTTATTTCTTTCCTAATAGAAGCCTGATTTTTATATTACTCCCAGTACCACTTTTTAGAATAGAACATAGTGCTGGCCACCTTTGGAAAACTTCCTGTTTCTGAAGATCAGCTGAAACATTTCAGAATCTTAGTTACAATTAAGTTCAAATACCTAGAGTCATTAATGACTTTGTGGAAGCATGACTGAACTCAGTGCTTATTGTTAGACAGTATGACTAATAAACACCTGAACTTATTTAATGCAAGGTTAGCCCATCTCTTCAGAGCAAATAATAGCAAAAAAGTATCTCTCTCAAAGGTGATGTATTCAGTTTGTAAAAGGTGAACTTCCCAGTTTGAAATTTTAGCATCCTCAGAAGATACTACAGGATATCCAAAAATACAAACCCCTCTTATTCCTGTTTTATAGGCAAAGGACCAAAACCACAGTGATTAATTTAAGCTCACACAAAAAGAGCAGAACAAAGAAATCAAAACTAGATCTGTTGACATTTAACTTCTTGTTCCAACAGTCTGCTACGTTAGATATGAACTTGGTTTACCTGTGGTACCAAGAATTGTACAGTCCGAGAAACTCCTCCATCCCATGAGGCCATTTCCATCATGAAACCTAAAAAAGAGCATTCATACTATATGCATTACGTATGCAGTCTTCCCCATCAATTACACTGTTATCAAGCAGTGAGGGAATTTTCACATACAATCAGGATTTTAACTGCCTTAAACAGGCATGTCGCTAATCGCATTTAAATCAGATGGCCAATCTCCTGGCTGAAATCTGCTTTAACGGGAAAAATCTAATGAGGAGTTATGGAGAAAATCAATATGCCCTTGAAGAGCAGAATAACCAGTCCTACTGTATAGCAGAGTGCTAGCCAGCAGAAGCGAGAGGTTTCTCCAAACATGAGTGTTATGAGTTCCCTCAATGGCTTGCTTTCACTGAGAAACAGTGCTTTCCTTTAGCTCTGATGTGATCACATCCACATGAATGAGTACAAGCCTCTTGCCAAAAGTACACTGACAATCTGGCAGCAACAGAAAGAAACTACCTGGACTTACGTGGAAAAAGCTGAGCACTCCTTTATTGCTCAGGTTACAATACAACATTTTTATGCTAGCATTCCCTTACAAATGAACTACAAGGTCCACAGGAACACACTAGCAGCAAATAAAGATACTCAGAAAAATACTTGTTTAATGAAAGTACCTATGTGGATGATATTTCACTGTGAATTACTGAAGGTCACAATAGGAAGAGGTTCCTTGTGTAGGTGGTAGAAAGAATATTAACACTACTAACATTTTAAATACTCTAAATGACTAGTTCAAGTATTTAAGTGCAACACACAAGAATGCAGTAAATAATACCACTTAGAAAGACAGAAAACCAAGGTGAGTCATGAGAGCTTTCCAGCAAAGAGATGAATTAGTGTATAAACTAGTCTTGGAAAAACGTAGGGAGTCCTCATTGTCTGAGGCAATCAAAATACAAAAGACACTGGAAATGATACTGCGCAGAACCACCAGCTCTTGCCCTCCTTCAGAGATTGCTCAAAGCAGCAGCAAGGGCTTTTTCTTCTACTGTCTATGTTTAAGTTGCAAAGATGCTTTTGAAACATTTTTAGTCTCCATTCTAAGTGTCTGAGACTACTTCCTGGTATGACAGTTAATAACTTTAAAAAGACAATATAAGTGTATGTTTTAACAAATAATAAATTATTGAAAAATGCCTTTTTTGAGGAAAATGTATAGCTTGAGCTAAGGCTGGATGTCACCAAATGCAACACAAAAAAACCCCAGCTGAAGCATTCATTAACATACCTTTGACACACTTGAACACAAGCTCTGCCCTCTTCAAGCACCATGGAATGGTCATTTCCTAAAAATTAATAAACGAAAAGCCTCAATGCCCAATGGATCTAACCAACAAGAGTAGCAGAGAAGTTATTAAAAATAATACATTTTTGCCACAGAACCACATTTTCCCATCAGGTATTCAAGCAGCATTACAGGCCATGAAGAGGGATTCAGTTTTCCCAGAGTATTCTAGGCAGGTGGTATATACCTTATAGGTGACCATAAAAGCACTGCAACTGCTTATTGGTAGGAGAGCCCTTTGTCAGAAAAATCTATAAATCTTTAAGCGGAGATGTTGAATAAAAATATTGTTGACAATCCTATTAATGTAATTGGAAATGGGTCTATTTAATTCCTCTGTGGAGCTTCAGAAAAATGTATAATATCCAGTGGATAACTGTCAGATTTGTGCTTCAGCTAGCCAAAGATAGGCTCCTGACCACATCTTAACAGCAGTAACTGACGATTCCTAGCTATTCTTGATGATTCAGGTTAAGTTTATTGGCATACCCACTGCCTCCAGCAAAAACCTCTAATACTGGAACTGGAAGAAGCCCTTCTCCCCTAAAGATGCATTTATGTTAAGAGTTAGAACAAACAAAATCCATCTTCATCTGATGGAGGAGTTTCAGATATAAACAGATAGCAAATTCTTATCTAAAGTTAAATACCAAGATGGGACATGAAAACCACACTGCTTTATCTTAAGACACAGCTACAAGCACTGGTCCAAATAATTTAAGTAACAGTTTAAATGCTTTATTACATTAAACATTCTTTGGATATACACTACAAAGTGAATTATATCAAGATGAATATTCCTAGTCAAGAGACAGAATGACTGTCACTGTAAACAGTTCTCAGAAAGAAAACCGATCTGTTCTGATGTACACTTCAGCATCAAAATGAGCACTTTCTAGTCTGAATACAGGAATATAGACATGGAAACAAATTTATCATTCTAAGTACCTTTTCAAATTTACACTTTAACATAACTTTCTATTCAGTAAAGCCAGCCTTTATTTTGCAATGCCAAACACTGTGCAATCTGTCATTTTCCAAAGAGCTTAATTTCAGGATTTAAAAAAAGTTATTTGAGAAGCAAGGTTATCTAAGAATGCTAACTGATAACACTGAAACCGTATACTGAACATGGCTGCATTAAACAACTACTGAAAGCCAAAGTTCCTACTTAGGTGGGAGTATCTCCCGGCATCCCCAAATGACTTTTCTGAAAACCTTCTTTCATGATGTAAATCACTGCATCAATAGATGCTGCTTTTAGCGTATACAACACATTAATCAGATAGAAAATGCTGGACAACTTTTAAAATATTTTTTTAATTTCTAAGCTTTCTGGAAGAAATACTTGATCTTTGTTATAATTTATCTGCCTATGTGTGCTTTCTGTCACAAGTAATGTAGGCGTTTATTGTTAGTTTTGATCATTGTTTTGGCTTAGGTAAAACACAAGTGTCTGTTGCTCTGAGGGCAACTCAGGAGTACCTTGCGTAATCAATAAAGGGAACTAAGCCTTAAAAGGACTGATCGAAACAGCAGGATATGACACTATACCTTGGACTATTTCAGAGGAACATAGATGTTAAATCTTGTGGGCACTCAGAGACATAACAAGTTGAATCCAGAATGTCACTGTGTGCAAATTAAGTAACAGTTGTGGAAATGATGAAGGATCGGCTAAGTATCAGTTCAAAACACAGTGCAGGGTATAGAGGAAAAAAAGCAAACAGCCCATCTCCTATAGTGAGTTTTGGTTAACAGCATTCAAGCAAGTAAAAAACGACCTGGGGCTTTTAGTTTTGTTCACTAGCAGAGACTGAACCTCGTTCCTTTTTAGGATGCATTGATTTGTTGCCAAATTAAGATTTCTTCTGCTTATTAAAAAAAAAGAGGCCAACTTCACTGATTAGAAAGATATGCTGCAAACCTTTTTATGCAAACAGATTTGTGACAGACTCACTACACGGGGCTGCTGCTTTTATAAAGCTAAGGGCTTGCGCCTTTGCAGAGCAATGTCATAACCAGGTCATGAAAACACTAAAGTCCATAAATGTCTTTGTGGGACAAAGATTTCAAACAAAATTTCAACGGTTAATTTTAGTAAGTGAAGAATTAGCAAGATGTTTACTCAAAGTATATCTATGCAAATCCTAAACACTGTATGAGCAGCTATACATTTAAAGGCAGAAAACTCAGATGAGAAATATTTGAGGTTAACACACCCACCAATAATCTCTCTATATACATAAGCCATGTTCATAAACATTTGTTACACAGCTTATACTCCCTTTATTTCTACTTTTTTTCCAAAACATTTTTGTCTTAACTTGTGGTAATAGAGACAGCTGCCTGAGATCCCTGAAGAGTCACATTTTTCTCAGTGTTGCTGTGTGGACAGCAGCAATGGCTCCTATGTTGAAACTACCAAGGAAGTGTGCCAGCTCTAATATTTTTAGCGATGCCATGCTATTAGAGTCGTTTCTATATCAGTTTATATTAGATTCAGAACAGTGATCAGACAGTAATGCCTCAGTTATCCTGAATTTGAACTTGTCTGGTTTTGCTTTTCTCAAGTATCAAACCACATTTCTTTCCTTTGTTTAACTTAACCATCAGAACAGAGAAACCTGGTTTTGTTGTTCTCATCACAAGAAAAACCTAAGGAAAACAGAATTCTTAATTTTTTTTCATAGAAAAAAAAATATTAGCTTTATACGAAGGTCCAATAATAATGAAATGTAACGGCTTCATTGAGATCAATATACTCATTACTTCTGTGAGGTTATAAACACCACTCTTCCATCCATAAAAGAAGAAAACCTTTGGGAAAAGCACAGAGAAAACTCATGATGAATGCCTGCCACAGTGAAGCATGCAAACATCTCTGCAGCTGTGCTCCTGGTTAACCACTTTACAAAAATGTTTTTATGTAGGTGGTAAATGGAGATTCAAAACAGGGGCTGCTGAAGGCACCAAGTTCAGGTTAACTTTCAGAAATCTGTTATTATTCACCTTTTCCCTCAACAACAAGTTACATATGTGTGTGTTTCAAATTAGGTCAGCCAGCTACAAAGCACTGTAATAAGCAATGCTGCTAATGCAATTCACACAGTCTGGTTTTGGCTAAACATACACTTATCATACAGGTCACTTTCTGCTTACTCTGTGAAGACTGAAAATTTAATATAAAATGTAAATTGTTTTACCAGGACCTTTTAGGAACCCAGCACTAGACAAGAAGATAATTCTTCAGTTTCACACATCTAAGCAACAACACACTCAAAGCATGCTGAACACTTGGTCTCATGCTTTATTTGTATTTTAAAATACAGATATGCAAATGAAAGCTAAACCTAACAAGGTTTAAAGAAAAAAAAGAAAAATAATATAGTCAGATGGCAACTTGATTAAGGAAAAAGGTCAATAAATGCATGAAATACAGTAACTGGGTCCCATGAGTAACCCAGGCTGCTGTCCTACAAGTTGATTACTTGCATATGTGCCCAAAAATAGGTCTTAATACTAGAAATGAAAAGTTTCAGAAATAATATCGTCTGTTCCTGAAAGTTTACTTTTATGTATGGAAGTATATCCTTCAGAAGCTTCATTATTGGACATATTTAACTTTCGCATTGCTTGCACTTTCGCAATAATAGACCCTGATCTTGCAAAAGGGGACCACTTCTACACTGTGTTCCAATCAGATTCTGTTAAAAAAAAGTCACTGTTAAAGGTAATCCACTGGTGAGCCTTTATCTTGCTATGAGTCAGGCACTTTCAAAGAAGGAAAGGCAGTGTTGAAATTTACAACTGAAAAATCAAAGGGTTATTTACAGAAAAAACACAACAGACTATAGTCATCCATGCAAGGGTATCAGTAACGGTAGAATTATCTTATTTTTCTCATTTCTTTAAGTTTATCGACTTTTCACCTCCTAAGGAGGTGAGGCATATGATGGCATATAGCCTCCCCACCCCCATTTCTTCTCTGCTAGTATCTTGTGAGCCCGATGTGACAGAGGAAAGTGGTTGTCAATGGTATTAAATTACTACCCACCGTGAAAAGTTACAGTTGAGTAAGAGACAAGCTCTACACATTAGTGTCCCACTGAAGAAGAGAATACAAAAGCTCAGCACAGTAATTAAGCACACTTGTATCTACAAAGAGCCTCAGCAATATGCTGCTTCTTGCCCAGCTGGTATTTGGGGAAGAAACAGGGGGAAGAAATATTTAGAGAAGAAACAGGGACAGAAACTAAGGATGCAAGTGGTAGCGAAGAAGGCAACAGTTCAGAGCAAAGGTGAAATTGTTTGCTGCTGCGTAGGGCTGAGGTGGTGTTTAGGGATACAGAACTTCAAGCCAAGCTTTGCTAGTTCTGCTGCTCATAAAACAGTTTTAATGCTTTCTAACTAGCAACAATTAAAACCAGTGATCTGGTATCACTATTGCATCAGTGACTCTGAAGGTATCATTTCTAAGCAAGAGCTGTTGCCAGAAGACTTCCAGGCATGTAGTCCCATCTTTCATTAATACTTGTGCAACTGTGCAATGAGCTGGATCAAGGAAGTGAAGTGTCCAAAATGCGGGGTGGGAATAAAAAAACAAAGTAATTCAGTTAGCTGAAATGTTCTTAACTGGTTCAGTTCCTTAATTTGGGTCACCATATAGACATGAGTGCCAGCACAATAATGTGGCAGGAGCCAGTGCAATGATGTGGCAGGAGCATGTGACTAGGATAAACTAGCCAAACTCCCATTTGGCCTAAAGCAGCATGAAACACACCCTTGGCAAAAATCACTTTTGTTGCATCCTACAAGACAAAAACAAACCAAATCTTTACATTTACTTACTTCTGACATATCGTGCACCAATAGGAGAGGAATACTAATGGTAGTAATGTCATGCGTGCAGCAAACTTTGAGAATATTTCTGAGTCCCATGATTGCAGGATCCCGAGCGGTTATGTTGCCAGATCTTACATTATCATCCACACAGAGGTGAAAAGCAACATGAATTTCAGAAAGATTCGAATGGCGTGTGATGTAGAATTCTCCTACAGAATAATATAAACCAAGAATGCAAGATATCATGGTAGTGATCTGTACTGAAATACTGAAATTGTGAGGCAATGTAAGGGTAAGTTAAGACATTTAAGACAAAAGGCAAATACAAATATACAGCAGAGATCAGAACAGATATACAAGGAGATAAAAAAAAAAGTTAGAAACCAACTGATCTAAAATCTCTTGGAATATCACTGTTTTACATTCATCCTACACTCACTTCCCTGCTTTGATGGGTTTGACTGGCATCACGGACACCTGGTGTAATAAGACATAACAGTGCCAGTACAGGCGGATATGATCTATATATATCACAAAACAGAAAAACAAACACAGAGGAGCTGTAATACTCAAAATATATAATGTAAGCACTGAATTGCAGACAGATGTGGGAGGCGGAAATACCAAAAATGGATGGGTTAAAATAAAGGATGCAAAAAGTCTGTGGAAAAAGATAGGGGGTTATGTAACAACTGAGAGACGTACTGGAAGACAAAGGTATTTGTGATCATTAGAATTTAAAATAATTGACAGTAATGGGAAGACGAGTTACAGAGCTGTTTTCAAAAAATTACCAAGACATCTTGTTGGGGGTATTTTTAGACTTGGTATTCATTTATCAAAGGTAGAGAAAGAGTAAGGGGCAGCGAAATGCATGTCTCTTCATCTTACTTTTCTGCTGGAGATCGAAAGTCTATACTAGAGTCAACAGAAAAGCAGGTATGCAATACCCCTACTGTTTCAGTCAACAGATAAACATGTTTCTTCAAACCTATTTTCACTGGTCATTTAAGTTAAGATACTACCGTTGTACTGGGACAGCTGAAGAACAGGTATGTACTCCTTTCTGATGACTGCTAAGGAGGTAGTAATCCCGGCAATGACCATCTAAGAGTAATGACACACAAGCCACTGCAGCAAGAGTCACCTGAATTTAACCGTTAAGGATGCAAGCTGATTTATAATCCACTTATACCAATAAGATCTAAGACAGTCATGAAAGCTATCTGAAGAAGCCCTCTTATTCACCCATGTGTTATATGGATTTAACTCCTTCCCCCTCCAACTGTGTATTCATCTTCAAATTCCACAGAAGCTTTCCTTACTAAAAATCATAATATATACAGAAGATACTTCCTCTTTGAGAGGAATGGATTTGTACACTCTCAAAGCTAAAAAATACATTCTAAAATGCTTTACTGTATCACAACAGTGACATAATTATAATTATTTTCAAAAATAAAATTAGTTGCTAGTATGTAAGTTTCACCTTTTCCCAAGATGCTCAGAGATCTTTTTTTCACCCTCAAATTTTGAAAAGAAATTTTAGGCATAGAGAAGTTCAGTGATTTGCCCCAAGTCACATGATGCAGTGGCAAAGCTGGGAATAGAAACCAGATGTCCTGACACCCAGTTCTCTGCCTTAGCCACAAGAACATCCTTCTCCTCTGATTGAGGTCAACTCGGGTTTAGTTTATAATTTATGTTCTGACTTTAGAGCTAAAAATGTGCACCTATAAAACACAATTTACTTTAAGAAGAGGGGGGAAAATGCAACAGAACTCACCTGGCAAAATATTTGACTGGTTTCGTTCAATATTCTTTAATTTATCTTCATTTCCACTACTTCTGTTTTCTGTATATAAATACATAGCACAAATATTAAACATATCATCTATTAATTACACTTTAGCATGAAGTTTGATGCACTGAGATAATATCTGGCTTGATTTTTTGCCATAAAGTTACCATAAAGTCCCCAAAAAGCAGGGGGATGGACAGGAAGAGTTTTTGCTGTCTTCAGTAGACACCGAACTGAATCATATCTCAAATCATTAGCTTTCTTATTTAATAATCTTACGATATCTCTTCATTTGGGCAAAAGAAAACACAATATTCTCAAACATAATACTAAACTTTCCAAATTGCCCCCACAACTACACAGTACCTTGCTATTGCTTTTTAAATAATGTAACTATTTAAAACAAATTTGTTATTAGTATTACAAGAAAAAATGTAAAGAGATTTACATAAATCAGCAGTATAAAACCAGTTTTCAGTATTTTCCTCAAGACTACAGCAATATGCAGGTTCCCAAGAAAACTTGTTTCTCTATGTACTCTTATGAATCTATTCATGTTACTGACGTATTTAAACCACATAAGTAGTTCTCTGCAAGAAAAACAGAGTTTCATGATGTACAAGTACTGCCTTAACACCATGTGGTCAGAAAATTTCACAGCCATTTGTAAATATAACTGCAAAGTAAACCATTCACAAGGATTTGGTCAGCACTAAAAAGTATACACATTCAGTTAATTTATTATTTACTTATAAGGAAGGGAAAAAGTTCGTAACTCCTCTTCTGCAATTTTTAAAGCTTTACATTTAAATAGAAATAAAAAAGTCAAGTCAGATAAAGTCTGTGTTGCTACAGGCAGTTTAAACTGCAGAGGAAAGCACAATGACTCCATATACTTCCCATGCTGTTAAAGTGTGATCAGAACTTAAGGACTTATACTTTTTTTTTTTTGGTAAGGTATGTCTGTTACGGCAGCAAAGACATCATATGAACATGCTTTCTGTGAAGAGAGAATTTCATGGAGACTTCTCCCAGTCTATCGATAAACAAGAACATTCCATTTTATAGATCAGGTAACTGAAGAAGAGTGAAATTAACTTGCCCGTAACAATAAACATTCAGCTGACCACTATTCTATTTCAAGGAAAGTAATTTAGGTTGTCACTGACCGTGATGTCTTTTCGACTTACTGCTACGCTGTGCTCGGGCCTTAAGTACAACCTTCTGGACAATTTCAAGCTGTTCTTGAATTCCAGGAAAATGGAAATCTGTGCATTCTTGGCAAACAGTTGCAAAATCTAGGGGGAAAAAAAAATTAAAATCCACGTCATAAGGCTGTGCTTAGTAACATTACATAATTCTGCTCTACTGCTCAAGCAAGGCCAATTACAAAGGCAACCCCCAAAAACCAGACAAAGCCCTGCTGTACTCCTCTTTAAATTCTAAAAAAAATATATAGGCAGAGACAAAACTTTTTCTTTTGAAAACAATTAATTGCTCGGGGAAAAAAAACCCTTGAGTGCTGTTGCTCTTCAAACAAAACCACCCAGACCAGAAAACTCAAAAATAATGGCACTAATATATGGGCATTAAATGTAATTGTGCTTTAAAAATGATGTCTTATTACTAACAGTCCTTTAATCTGTGATACTTTATTAAAACATACATAATAGATGCTTCCAACAGCAACAACAGCATTCCAGTTTGTTTTGAAGAATGAGAGCTATTAACGAAATTCATCAACAGTGTATCTGGAAAGCTGGAATTACAGTTCTTTCCTTTTAGTTCTCAAAACACAGCTCTGAAAGCTAAAGAAAAGTGTCATCAGCTGAAAAGAGCCACAAGTTTCTTTTCCTGATAAGTAAGTATTATATCAGACTTGGAAATATTATACTGATAATTAGGATCATAACACACTGCCTCTGTGACTGGCATTCCAAGCTCCTTATCCTAATGTCCAGCCGCCTCTCGAATCAAGTCAATGTGAGCCAAAACAAGCTATTAGCAAGGAGCTGGACTATACTAAGCAATTGCTACTTCCCGTTTTGAGGTACCTGCTCCAATTCTCCTTATAGTTCTTAATGTACTCTGATTGCCTATCTGGAGAGCACCATATAGTCCTGTGAACAGGCTGTGACAAGAACAGGGAGGGTAAGAGAGAAAAATCTTAATGTATTTTATCTTTTTACATGAAGTTTCCATCAAATTTTATTTTCAAAAAGGCTTTATTAAATTCTGGTGTCCAAAACCAAGGGAGGAAGAAGCTCATATTCCAAACGATTGTTTTCTGTGTGTATCAACATAAAATAAGGTCACAAGACATTTTTCATTTGTTTCAAATAAAATCTCTTGTATTTCAATTAAAATTAACTTTAATTTTAGTTTATCATTTGCCTGAGTGTGCTATACCTACTCAAAACCCAAGTCACAGCAGCCTTACAAAGTCCTAATATAAGAGACCTGAGCTAGGCAATGCATGAAGTATATAAAGAAACTATTCATCTAGCTTAGAAAAAACAGTCTGAATTAAATGAGCATGTTGAAAGTTCATACATAAGTTCAACTTTCTGTTCAAGGCTGTTTTCTAGAGATGTGTCCAAATCCCATTCAAAGGTATATTTTGCTAGTTGCCACTTACACGTTGTAAGAAATACAGAAAACACTGCAGTCGTGGTTTTCCGTCTTGTAAATACCTCACATACATCCTGAATTTCGAGACAAACGGAACAGTTTTTGGGTAACGGATTTACCAAAGATGCAACATCAAAATATTGCAACAGAACTAACAAAATACACCCAATGAAGCACACTCTTAAGCTTCCTCAGGATAGAACTGAACAAACAAGGTCAACCAAGTTAAGTTGCAAGACTTTGTACGAATGGAGCCCCTCTCCATTTAGTGTTTGCCGAGTGACTGGTATTGTTCAAAACAATGCAAAATGCTTGGAATAAACAGCGTGCTCACATGAAGCTCATTTACTCCAACTACCTTTGAAAATCTCACAGAGGTTTGAGGGAGCTCCTAGCCCATCATGAAATAAAGACTGTTAGGTTTGTATTTTTCCCCAGCTTTTAAAACAGAAGCAGAAAGTTGTTTCTGCACTTTTGTAACTCAGAAATTTAGACTGCACAAGCCACTACCTCTCCATGTAAACAACAGCATCAATGTATTATTTAAAGGTCTTCTATATAGCAGTTTTATGAACCTTGAACCCCCTAGCATATTTATTTCCTAAAGAGCCTTTTAGGAAGGAGAATTGGATCTGGCTAGTGCTCTTGCAACAAACAGCTTTAACAGTTTAAGAGCAAAGTCTCCTCTCAAAGGTGTTTATTACTGCTCTTCTGCCAGAAGCTACCGCTCTCACCACGGAGTGGATTTAAAGAAATGTGCCCAAACCTCAGTTGCTGCCTATAGTGGTTTGGGGTCTCAATACAACCAGACGTTCACTGATGGTTTAAAGTAATACATCTGACTAGGTCAAAGGAGCTGAGACACATTCATTTCTGCAACATTTTTAAAAAAGAATGGTGGTGCAGACAGCTGTGGAACACGCCCACAGTTAAGTTCGCCAAAGTCCCTTTGGAACTCAAAGAAATCAAAATTTATTGAGGATTATACTTTACAGATTATGATACAGTCCCTTATTTTCCCCTCTGCTGTGGCTGCAAGATCTAACTGGTGGCTAGAAGAAGCAATTTTGTATTTAACGGTATTACTTAAATGTCCATCTTCTCTTATCACCTAAGATTTAGTATAAAAACAAATCTTCTCTATTTGTTATTAATTTAAATATTTAAGCAGTAAAAAAAAAAAGTAACTGAAAATGAGTACAAGTATGAAATAATATTGTCAGAATTAAGCAACTTGGAAACCATAAACAGCACAAATACAGCTGCAATTTTTACTGGCATATGTCTCTTTCCTTCTTGCTACAAGCCTGATTCCACACTGTTTTCAGAGGATATCAACCACCAAAGCTTTTTTTTTTTTTACAGCATGCTAGAATAATGACAAGTAATAGTGGCTCCAGTCAAAAAGACATTTCAAGTGTAAATATTTCGGTATTAAACTTCAAGAGGAAGGTGGGAAAGTCAATAATGTGGTTGAGATAAAGCCTCGGTGACCAAAACAGGAACAAACACATTTCATTGGTTAACCTTGATACCAAATACCTCCATCATAGTGTCCAGTTACTCAAAAGACATGCACTTAAAATGTCTACTAATCAAGCTTTCCAGGCGTAGGCAAGTAACATTCCTATTGTTCATTTTAATGCAATTCATAGTGCTGCAGATATCTAAAGTATATCATATTTTTATACATTTACTTATCAATTTGAAATCTTAGTGTATTTCATTTTCACCTTTGCAAATAGGTTTCAGTATGCTAAGCTGACACTGGAGAGTCAGAAGCCCCTACTTGATAATAAGTCAGTCTAAGGCAGGGAAATCAACATTGAAGTGTTCACTTTATCATGTTCCTTACTCAAACACAAACCCTAAGACATGAGAGAGGTAACAGCATTATTAGAGCACAACTCTGTTCCCCATCCTTATCCATATCTCTTTTTGCATTTGTTACCCTTTTGCAATACCATGTCCAAAACATCATGGTCTCCAGTAAATTTTAATTTTACAGGGAATATTTTTTTGTGAGAGCAGACAGCAAGTTTTTAAGTGACATTTGTTTTCATTGACATGACATACCCCATTAGAGGACTCACCTCTTTTGATGCCGCTATATGAACTGATACGGTTATCTACCAATAAAACCAGGCCACAGAGAGAGGTTGAATAGAGAGACATTGCAGTTTGAAGTCTGTGAAGCTTTACTCCACTTCGATGATTACGCTTATGTTTACAGAAATCCAGCATATCGGCTCTCAGTAATCTCAAGTTATGCATGGTCTTCAACTGGGCTCCTGTACGGAATATAAATTATTTTAATACATACAATAAAAGAGGAAACTCAGGATTCTTATTAAAATGCAAGGGATCAAAGTGTTCCCCTGAGTTTTGTGAAAAAAATTTGTAAGGGTGTCATGGTTTAGCCCCTGTCAGCAACCAAGCACCACACAGCCGCTCGCTCACCCTCCCGCCCTGGGTGGGATGGGGGAAGAGAATCAGAAGGCCAAAAGTAAGAAAACTCATGGGTTGACATAAGAACAGTTTA